TTTATCAATAGTTTAGCCAATTTTTAGATATAAGTGTATCCAAATTGCTTAAAAGCTGCACAGCTAGATTGTTTTGGCATGATAAATGATGTTGTTTGTCCTGAAATTTAATATGAATTTGGTATATTACCCATTGTTATGCCAACTTAATTTTTTATTTTTTTATTCACATGTAAAAATTCACAGTCCATAGTAGCCTCTTTCTCGATGTAGTTGTCAGTTGTAACTTTGCTTTCTGTTCTTTGAGCTACTTTACTGCACTTGAAGAGAAAATTCAGTAAAAATGTGGCTTAGATACTTAAAGTCGGGGGAATTCAAAACTGCAGTAAGATGAATTCCTCATTAATGTGTTTTGATGGATTTTATGGTCAACTTGGTGGCTATGTTATATGAATTTTGTTGGACATCAGTGAAATTAGCTGCTGACTGTTTTGTGTGTACTTGATGAGTTGTATCCACGTTACATAGACTCTTTCACTTTCAATGCAGCATCAGTGTTGAATTAATTTGACAGCAAAATATTCTAATTTACAATTAAATATTAAGCATAAAGAAAATGGTACTCAATAGGAAATGATTAAATAAACATTCAAGAATCTTTACATAAGATTCTTTAAAAGAAAGGAAATATGAGCTGGATACATTGGAATATATATATGTTTATGACTGCTAACTTGCTCAATCTTGGATTTTTTATGTTTCTTCTTTTCTTGTATTAGAGATTGTACCTTTGACATTTAAGTTTACAGGTACTTGGAGAAGAAAGGAAAGGAAAGAAATTGAAGAGATGGCATGCAGGGAACATTGAGCATTATCAGGTACATCGAACTTAATTTTGATTTTTTTTCTCGAAAACACTTTCAACTGGAAGGATTAGCTATTAGAGTTACCCTATTTTCACAACCCGTTCTCCTATGTGGAAAGTCCAGTATTTCTCCCTCTTTAGTTGATTTAATTTTCCAGTTGGATATGCAGTTGAATTATAATGTTGAATACTAACATATGTATATGTAGATAAACATAAACTATAATTTGCTTATATGACAAGGGAGACTTTTTTTGAACATGAAGAATTCTTTGTAAGATAAGTTATTTGTTTTTCATAGAGTGCAAGTTTCGGTATATAAATAGCAAACAATCTCCATTTTTAACACATCTTATTCATTTATCTGAAACTTATGCAAAAATGCAGATTTCAATCAATAGTTATCGCCTTCAGGGAATTAAAAAATCGGCTCAGAGATTTGTTCCTATACCATTTGCCCCTGATGGTTTAACTGAAGAATTTTATGATCTGCATGCTTATAACCCTGCTGAAAGTAAGTTCATTATGAAACTTCAAGTTCATCCAGAACGAATGAGCCAAGAAGATAGTCACAGATTTGATTTGCTTATCAGGTACTATTATAAATTTCTATTTCTACTAAATTTTAAAAAATGTAATGAAGATGTACGTGTTCAGTTTGAAATAAGCTATAAGATAGTCATGTTATGACTTATTCAGTTTATTACTTAATTGATGTAAACTGGTGAAACTTTTACTAGGAACAGACAGAAGACATACAAGGATACATATTAATTAGGCGTCATTTCCATGATCACATTCATATTTATCAGCTCCGTTGACTCCTCAAAGTCAAAGTGAAATTCTTGAAGAAAGCTTACAAGGTCACAAGGAATGACTGGTATATAAACTCTTCCCTTTAAAATTTTCGATAATTGTTTTATTAAAGACATTGAAGCTTTCCTATAATTCTTAATCTTCATAAGTGGATTAACTGTTTTCTCTGTACACTTAAACTACAGGCAAAATTGCTTACCTGAGCCAGCTTAGAAGATGAACACATGCTTCTGGTGTGCGAATTCATGCCCAGAGGAAGTTTGGAAAATCATCTATTCAGAAGTAAGTATAGTTCGTGTGAAAGCATAACTGCATATTTCATGCAAAAAGGGATCCACAATATGATATGTAGATTCATGGGGACCCAATTCCTTTTTCTAAACCATGTATAAGAAATTTATTTTACTATGAACTTAGTTCATTATAGAAATCCATAAACTTGAAATCTTGAATCCACATCTAATTTGAGGACATCCACTAATATCATCCCTATAATGTTATTGAGTTAACCTTTGCGTACTTCACATTTTCTATTTTTTGAAAAATGAAAATTCTTTCTATTATGAATAGTGATTTGATGAAGTCTCGACATAAGAGAATCAACTGTAAATTATATTCTCTGTTTTTTCGTTGTTATAACATTTTCAGTTCTAATAGCTTCATAAACAAGTCGCCACTGGGTTCTCTATAGTAGTATTTGATTTGAGTAATGTCAACACAATATTGTTCATTATAGAAATCCATAAACTTGAAATCTTGAATCCACATCTAATTTGAGGACATCCACTAATATCATCCCTATAATGTTATTGAGTTAACCTTTGCTACATCTTGAACAGAGGAGTGCTTATTTCCAACCACTATCATAGAATCTCCGAATGAAGGTTACTCTCGAGGCAACTAAAGGACTGACATATCTCCACAGCCCAGAAGCTAAAATTATATATCAGGATTTCAAATCATCTAACATTTTGCTTGCTGCTGTATGTAAAACTACTTTAAAATTTAGTCTTCTACAAGTTTTAACAATATTTCTGTTGTCCTCTTATAATATGTCCATCCAACATTTCAAAAGAAATTAAGTGAGGAACTACAAAAATAAGGAACTACATATTCCAAAATCTTGATTCATATTAAAATATTCTAATGAAATACATCAGGTCTTCAAAGGGTTAAAAAATTCACAATAAAACAAAAACATAAAATAAAAAGAATAAATAATATAATAACAAAAAAAAAAGGTGAAGAATACCCTTTAAACATTGGCTTCCTTGAAAATGTAGCACATCACTTTCCTCTATTTTTATCACAAGAAACCTCAAGCTCCTACAACTCAAAAGAAATTAAGTGAGGAACTCCAAAATTATGAGAATTTTATGGAAATTAATGGAAGGTTAAAAGGTTTGTAACCGATTTTCAATTGTAATGACTAATAAGTATAACTCAATTAATAAAAAATAAAGGCCATTGAAATTTATCAAAATTTACGAGAAAGGAGACATGAGTGTACTTCTACTATGAGAAGACTGTTTTAACTTGTTTTTGTTTTTATTTGTTGCTTATTTTGTATTTTTATAGAACATACAAAGTTTATTATGTTTGTGCAGTTTATATGTCATAGGACTGAATAGTAAGAGCTACAACTCTGAAGCAGTATAGTTTGTTTGGTTATTTTGGGTTTAGGTTCTTTGTTTGTATGAGATTGTCAATCTCCTACTTTGACATTGTGAAATTGTACAGGTCTATGTCATGATTGAGAAAGAACTAATAGCAAATAAATGGTTACGACATGAAGATGGAAGCAAAAGTTAATAGTATGATACATGCTATGTGATCTTTTATGATTTTCTAATTTATGTTGATTGTTTCGCTTTTGCAACAGTTTCTTAATGGTTTGTTACTACCTTCAACTCAAAAGTTTCTTACCAATGTACTTCACATTTTCTATTTTTTGAAAAATGAAAATTCTTTCTATTATGAATAGTGATTTGATGAAGTCTCGACATAAGAGAATCAACTGTAAATTATATTCTCTGTTTTTTCGTTGTTATAACATTTTCAGTTCTAATAGCTTCATAAACAAGTCGCCACTGGGTTCTCTATAGTAGTATTTGATTTGAGTAATGTCAACACAATATTAAAAAAATAAGTTTATATTGGTAACAATTAAGATTTGCTTAATTTTGCTTTTTCAAGTTTTTGGTCAAAACTTTGATTTGCACAACTCTTATGCAGGGAAGACATTTGAATGGATGAAAGTTCCTTTGCATCAACTATAGAAGATATATTTAGTTTTTGAGCTCTTGTTATTTAACTGGAACTACAATGATGGTAAAATTCCTTTTATATATGTTTTTATGCATTATGCAATGACAGTTAGAATCAAAGCTCAAATTTTCCTTTTCGGCATTTTAAATAAAAAAAATTGTAAGTTCCAACAATTCAAAAGAAATTAAGTGAGGAACTACAAAAATAAGGAACTACATATTCCAAAATCTTGATTCATATTAAAATATTCTAATGAAATACATCAGGTCTTCAAAGGGTTAAAAAATTCACAATAAAACAAAAACATAAAATAAAAAGAATAAATAATATAATAACAAAAAAAAAGGTGAAGAATACCCTTTAAACATTGGCTTCCTTGAAAATGTAGCACATCACTTTCCTCTATTTTTATCACAAGAAACCTCAAGCTCCTACAACTCAAAAGAAATTAAGTGAGGAACTCCAAAATTATGAGAATTTTATGGAAATTAATGGAAGGTTAAAAGGTTTGTAACCGATTTTCAATTGTAATGACTAATAAGTATAACTCAATTAATAAAAAATAAAGGCCATTGAAATTTATCAAAATTTACGAGAAAGGAGACATGAGTGTACTTCTACTATGAGAAGACTGTTTTAACTTGTTTTTGTTTTTATTTGTTGCTTATTTTGTATTTTTATAGAACATACAAAGTTTATTATGTTTGTGCAGTTTATATGTCATAGGACTGAATAGTAAGAGCTACAACTCTGAAGCAGTATAGTTTGTTTGGTTATTTTGGGTTTAGGTTCTTTGTTTGTATGAGATTGTCAATCTCCTACTTTGACATTGTGAAATTGTACAGGTCTATGTCATGATTGAGAAAGAACTAATAGCAAATAAATGGTTACGACATGAAGATGGAAGCAAAAGTTAATAGTATGATACATGCTATGTGATCTTTTATGATTTTCTAATTTATGTTGATTGTTTCGCTTTTGCAAGAGTTTCTTAATGGTTTGTTACTAGATCAAAAGCTGATTTATGCGGGTAGAAGGTGAATTTGACTCTGCCGTGCTGCTTTTATTTGATATTTTTTTCTCCGGTAAAGAGATGAAACAATGTAGTGTTTCTGTTGAACTTGATTTTCTAAGTTCAATTTTATAAGTTATTATAGGTGTAGTTTTGTTTTGGATATGTGCAATGACTATATTACTTGGGAAGGCATTCTCCAGTGTAATTAAGTACTTATGCGACCTACTTTTACATTAACGTAGTTGTGGCTTTATGTTTTCTTTTCGATAACTTCCCCATTTTTTACATCAAATGACTACAAAGTAGCTATTACTTTTAAATATTAAATGTTGGGCCCGTGCTCAGCACGGGCCATGCCCCTCTAGTTACTAGCTAGACAATAGATCACGTAGTAAAATTATTTTAGTATGATTGTATCGTTATTATTTATTTCCTTTTTGAAGTTTTGAGTAAATGGGTCTTCACCCTTTTGAAAGAGTGATATACTACTAGTCAAACGATCGATCATCATATAATTAATTAATTTAATGTAATTGTGTTGTTATTATTTATTTCCCTTGAATTTCTAAGTGAATGCATCCCTTTTGAAAGAGTGAATTATATTACCAGTCAAACGATCGAATCACGATATAGTAAAATTAGTTTAAAACGATTATGTCGTTATTATTTATTATTTAAAATATATATTTTATGTTTATTGTATTTTTAATAATACTTTTATTATATGTCCTAATTTATAAATTTATTTTTTAAATTATTAACATATAATATTATATAACGATGAAAATGATACAATTTACCTAAGTAATTTATTTTTAAAGAATTTGCTAAGGGCAGATCCCTCACCAACCATTTTAGGTGGGTTATACTTGGAAACCACCTTCCATAGTCAACAAGTTGAGTCCAAATACTACTCCTTTCTGATTTAGCATGAAATTTAAAAAAGTAATAAATTTTTAGATTTTATAATTCAAAATATAATTTTTTAAAAATGTATTAAAATATTTTTTAATTTTATCCCTAATTTTAAATATGTCATGTAGAAAGTTGAAATTAAAAAATTACTAACTAAGAAAATGATCATTCTTTTTTAAATAAACTAAAAAGAAAAGTAGGTCAAATAAATTGAGGCGGAGAGAATAATATGCTTTTAGGGCTTGTTGATCATGACATAATTAAATTATTCCAAAATTAATTATTCTAGAATTGTTATCTTATTTTTGTGGAATAAAAATAATATCATATTTTCAAATAATTATTTTTGAAATACTTTATCACAATCAGATATGAAATAAACTTATCGTAAAATTAATTCCCAAATTAATGAACATGATCTATCAACCCAAAATTACCATGATATATGGTCAAATAGTGGGTTCACAAAATATAGTTTATAAGCAAAAAATAGTAGCACTATCCATATATGACCAAAAAAAAGTAAACAATAAGGAAAATTCATATCTAAGACTAATATTAAAACACTTGTGCTTTTCACATTACAATATCCTCATTATAGTACAATTTATAGATTTCAACCTTGAATTCAAAGTCTGATTCATTGTGCTGTTTAATTAGCTAAAATGAAAGTAGTTGGGCAAGTATTTCTTATTTATATTTGGCTTAATATATAATTAACCTTTTAAGATAATCTGTATATTTCATATAAATACTTGAACTAATCCATATTTCAATTAAATATCTCAGCTTCTAATAAAATATTTCAATTATACTTTCAATTTAAATTTTGAATTTCTTTTTACATATGTTTTAATTTAT